CCCCCCCCCCGCCCTTTCCCCCCACTCCTCCTCTTCTTTCTCCCTTCCTCCACCGCGTCTCGCACTAGAACAGAGCGCCAGCGTCATGACAGGTCAGCTCAGCACAGAGGGTCCTTCTCTCTTAGACCCCGAGGCTGACATAGCGCACGGCAATGATGCGAGGGAGGAGCGGCATGAAGGGGAGGAGAGGCAGGAGAGGCAAGCTCTGCATGACGCCGACGGCTCTGCGTACTGCAGCATTCGCCTGCCAGCATGCGCGCTTCTAGCCGTCTTCATTTACGTCAATCTCCTCAACTACATGGACCGGGGCATCGTCAATGGAGTCCTGCCGGAGTTCTGCGTCAACTGCAAGGCCAGACACGAGGAGGCGCTCTGCAGGGAGTACTCATCGTGCACGTGGCAGCGAGGAGGAGGAGGGAGCAACGGGACGTGCAACTTCAATGCGTCGGTCGTTCCGCGTCGAGGGATAGCAGGGAGTTTTCATATCAACGAGACGGCGCAAGGTGTGTTGGCAGGCTCCTTCATGGGTGGGTACTGCATCTTCAGCCCGATCTTCGCCCATCTTTCCACCATCCATGCTCCCTTCCGGCTCATGGGGTTGGGCCTGACTGCATGGTGTGTCGCCTGCGCACTGGGCACGATGGCGCCAACGTACAACGCGCTCCTCACAGCGAGGATACTGAGTGGCATAGGAGAAGCCAGGTGAGGATACTGACCGAGAGCGACAGAGGGGGAGGAGCTGAAGTGTTTGTCCGCTCCTGCCAGCTTCCAGTGCATAGCTCCTTGCTTCATCGATGACATGGCAACGGCTTCTCAAAAGGGTAAATGGCTCGCTGCCTTCTTCATGGCGGTATGCGCGCTAGTCTGCTCCGCACTACCCCTGCACTCCTACATTCACTCTCCTCTGACCACTTCCCTCTCTGCTCTCTGCTCTCTGCTCTTTCATGCCCTATTCCACTTCCTGCTTCCTCCTTTCTTCGTCTACTTCCCTCCTCCATTCTCGCCTCCCCTCCCCTCCCTCCCCCTTGTCCCCTCCCTGCTCCCTCATGTCTTCCTCTTTTCCCCTTCCTCCTCTCCCTCCCTCCCTACTGCCTTCTCCCTCCCTCGTCTCCTATCCCCCTGACCCATCCGCCTCCAGGTCCCGATCGGGCAGGCGCTGGGCTACACCTACGGGGGGTACATGTGCTCTCAGATGGACCCCGAGAAGATTGGGTTCGCCGGATGGTAAGACTGCCGGCTGATCCCGCCATGGTGACTTCAGTGTCGGTGGTTCAGGCGGATGGCCTTTGCGCTGGAGGGTCTGGCGATGGTGCCAGTGGCAGTCGCGTGCTTCTTCATCTCCAACCGCCTCCGGAAGAAGGCGACACCTTTGCCTCATGCTGCTCTCCACGATGCCGACTGACGTTCCCTGCAGAAGCCCGACCAGACGTCGCTCGAGTCGGAGGGCAGCTTTCTCTCCAGACAGGACTCGGAATCGTACTTGTCCTCTCCTGCTCAGGCGGTTAGGGACGAGTACACGATCGTGAAGTCCCTCAAGACAATCGTTGGCAACCCGATCTGGGTGTGTACGGTGATGGGATATGGCGCCTTTACTTTCTCAGTCGGAGCCATGGCTGTGTGGGGCCCGACGTACCTTCAGGTTTCCTTTCAGACCATCTACTGATTCTATTGCTAACCATTCTATCCCCTGCTCCTGCTCCTGCTCCTGCTCCTGCTCCTGCTCCTGCTCCTGCTCCTGCTCCTGCTCCTGCTCCTGCTCCTGCTCCTGCTCCTGCTCCTGCTCCTGCTCCTGCTCCTGCTCCTGCTCCTGCTCCTGCTCCTGCTCCTGCTCCTGCTCCTTCCCTCTCTGCCTCCTTGCTCTTTGCCGTCCCTCGGTTCCCCCAACTCAACAGCGCAAGTTTGAGATGCAGCTGGATGATGCGGACCTGGCTTTCGGCTCCGTTGCTGTCTTCACCGGCCTGTTTGGAACGATCTCTGGAGGCTTCATCCTGGATCTTGTCACGAGGGTCCTGGGAAGGGACGCGATGTCCAATTCCCTGCTCGTCTCCGCCACCCTCGTCACGCTTGCCTGGCCCTGCTGCTTCCTCGCTTTCTCAGCAACCGAGTACCGCAAGTTCATCTTCTTCATGATCGTCGGCCAGTTCCTGGCGTTCGCCACCACCTCCCCCGTCAACGGCGTCCTGCTATGGTGCGTCCCAGCAGAAGTCCGAACCCTCAGCATGGCGCTCTCAGTCGTCGGGATCCACGTCCTCGGGGATGTTCCCAGCCCTGTTGTCGTCGGTGCCATGCTCGAGCGGTTCCAAGATGAGGCGTTCGTCATGCAGCTGGTGTCTTGCTGGATAGGATGGTGCATCCTCTGCTGGGGTAAGCACCTGCACTGGACGTTGATCATGTTTGATTCTTCCTTGCTCTTTGCACAGGTGTCGCGTATATCATGTCTGTCCGCAGCCAGAGGCACAAGAAGCTGCTGATGACAGCCAGTGGAAATCATTCGAATGTCACCTCTGATGTCAGGCTGGAGTCAGAGACCCCTTTGCTCAGTTGAAGTTAGGTGCTCAAAATCTTCTTGTAGTTATATTCAATCTCACTGCTATTGAGTTTCGAAAGTATATCCCGGCGACAGACAGAATTTGCATTTCCCTGGGGCCTCTGACACATTACGACTCAAAGTCTGAAGACACTTGATCTTTCCTCGATGGATTTTCATTCATTTATCGCTGTCCGTGAAATGAATCCATCTTTGGAACTTGTCGAGTCTTTGACCATCGGGAACGTACCAAGACTAGATTGAAGTTATTCGTTGATGGAGCAAGCAGCCATTCAATCAAATACCTTCTTGTTGGAGTCCCATTTCGCTCCGGCAGCTTTGACTAGTTCTCTGTCCTGAGTTGATTTTCAATTCGAGAGATGAAGATTACAAACTTGCTACCCTATATGGGCACAGTAAATAGATACGCTGATTTGAACGTTTGCTGCATGATGCACTGTTGCAACTTGTGTTACCACTCATGAGAGTGCTACCGCTGTAGGTACTGTTGCAGCCTTCGGTACTGTCGCAGCTTTGAATACTGTCGCTGCTTTGGATATTGTCGCTGCTTGGCAAGTAGTTGCTTTTCACTGGGATGCCGCTACTGCTTGATTTTTCAGTGCTTCTTGGAAGGATGCTCCTGGCAGGGATCTCACTGCCTCGTGGGTTGCTGTAGCTGTTACTTGTTTGCTCCGGTTTGCCGTTACTTGATATGCCGCTACCGCCTTGGACGTTGCTGCAGCAAGGGGGTTCTTCTTTACTCCACTCCATCTCGACGCTCAGCTTGAGAATGTCTTCTTCCTGAAGCACCATCCATTATACCATTTTCGTGTACATCACGTCCCTGAAAATTTCTCACCCTTGTCAGATCACAGGGAAGCGTTGGCTCGTTTCTTTCCGGGAAGAAAGAGCTCGTACACTCAGAATTCTCCGAGGGAGCCATAGCTGAAGAGTCTCAGACCCACAATCAAACAAAACCACATGTGCGCGTACAGATGCGCATGCTCGCATTTGTAAATCTCTGTACCATGGCCTCACACCTACGAAAAGTGAGGTCGTGCACCGTCGCAATGATCATAAGACCTGGTCAGAGCTTGTTCGAATACTTCCTCATCCCATCTCGGAGGTAGCTTTGTGTCGCCCTGCGTGGTGAAACTGGGTGGCTTGTCGATAGTTCTCATCTCTTCCATCTTCGAGAATGATGTTGTTGGGAGACCGAGCTTTCCCAAGGCTCGAGGTTCTGGCGACTTGATGAGCTGAGTTTTCTGAAAGAGGGATTTCTGCACATGAAGGAGGTGGTTTGTCTTTGGGTACATCTTTGCTCCTATCTTCTCCGCAGATACCGAATGCACTCTCTCTCGTTCTTGCATGCGCTTGCTGTATTCGCCATGGGCGATGCCCATCAAGTGCTGAAAGTTCCCTCGCACCATCGTGCGAAAAGTTTGTGGAGTCAATTTGGCGCCAAACTACCGCAAGGTTGTCAAACTTTGGGGGTGGAAACTTTCACCTCTCAAACTTTATTCCAAAGTTTCATCTCAAACTTCTGCTCAAACTTCGAATCTAAGAACTCTGAGGTGGACTTGCTCCGTGGCCCCACCATGGTCTTGACCCCCATGTGCTCTCCTCTCCTCTCCTCCCCCCATGCCCAGCAGGACGGCAACTCCTTCTCAACCTCCAACCCCTCCCCCTCCCTGCCACTGTCCCCTCTCTCCTCCTCTGACCAGTCACCCTGCACCTGTTCTGCCAGCAACGATCCCTGCATTGAGCATGGGATGCTTTCGCGTGTGGACTGTGGAGGCGGGCAGTTCCTGGAAATCCGCCATCGGTCTATTACAGTCGAGCCAGCGGACTCGAGACTCTTCAGGTAGGACGAGGTGGAAGTTGCGGAGATGGTGAGCGATCGCAGATGTATGGGAGCTGCTCTATGGCCGTCAAGCCTTGCATGCGTCAGGGAGATCTCGAGGAACGAAAGCATGAGGAAGGCTGCTGGTACCCGCATCCTCTCTCTCTTCATCAAGATATCTATGCTGCTCATGATTCAGTGTCCTCTACTCCATTCCCTTGCGACTACTGGTGTTGATGACCTCTCGAGGCCTCCCGTCCTTCCCTGTGTCCCATGGCTTTAGACACGTTTGGCTTGTGACTCCCTTCCTCAGTAGCAGGAGGCAGCCTCCTTGAGCTGGGATCAGGACATGGTCTGGGTGGCATAGCATCTTGCCTCCTCGGCTCCTGGACATCAGTAGTCCTCACCGACAAGGCATGGGGGCAGCAAGCGGAAGGATCGGAGTGAACGTGCCATGCGCAGGACGAGAGACTGTTGCGTCAGATCGAGCACAACTGCCGCCTGAACAGAGACAAGCTGAACCACTGCAAAGGTTACTTGCTGCTAGAGAAATTCATCTGAGATGAGAGCCGATGCAGACAATCTCTTCGTCGCTCATCTCGTCTGGAAGCACGACGTTCACACCTGCCCTCCTCGCACCCGTCGGCTCACGTTCCTGCAGGAGGGGGTCAAGAGGCTGAGAGACTGCGGTCATCAGGAGGGGTTCGACGTGATACTAGCATCCGGGCACGATGTTGCACTTGCTGCCTCTGCTGCTGCTGATACTGGACTAGGTGCACTTACTCCAAGCCTGTCACGGATGCGCTACTGGATACTATCAAAGAGCTTCTTGCAAGGTAGGCCTGCAGTCCTGGCGCAGGGCGATACTGAGGGGGGCAGGGGGGGCAGGGGGAGGAGGGGAGGTTTTCCTTTCTCAGAAGGAAGCAACATGTCCAGAACATGTAGGATGCAGCAAGTGCTGACGGCATGTCCTGTCAGGGGTGGAGTTGCCGTTCTCATACACGCGACCAAGAACGGGTGTCCGTTCTACTCGGTGACGTGCGCAGGTCCCTTGCATGCGACTGACAGTGTGGCGGTGAAGGGCTGGGGGATCAAAGAGATCAAGAGGAATCACAAACCTGCTGGGTTCTGGAAGGGGAGCAGAGGGTAAGGATCGTTGCTGTGTTGCTGCGTCCTCCTCCCCTTCAACACTCCGCTGTTGAAGGGGAGGAGATATGATTCCTGGCGGCGGATGTGATGGGCCAGTCTCTGTCGCTTTGGCCTTGTTGCTATTTGCTTACAAATTTCCACATGAGTACCTTCTTGCTCCTCACCTGAGTACCATCACGACAGGACGGATCATCTCACTACTGAAGAGCTTGTAGAGCTCGCTGAGGCCTCGGGGTTCCGAGCTGACATCCTGGTGCTGCAATGGTGTTGCAATAGTCGGTTTTGATAACAGTTCCCCAGGGAATGCACTCAGATCTCCTCGATCGAGGGATGGAAGAGATCGATATATCTCATGTTAAGTCAACCTTACCAGGTACAATCTGTTTTGCATTCTATCAACATCTTTGTGGCAACAATAGCAAGAGTTTATGCTTGCTTTATGGTGTACCATAACTGACTTTTACGGTGCAGGTATACAAGTGGTGGAATTACGGCACTTGTAACACATTGATGTCTTTTATTCGCTGGTAGTGTACAAGATTCGTCCAATAGTTTACAACAAACGCCTTCAAGCTCTCAGGGATGGGAATCCAGCCGATGCTACTTGACGCTGAGAGGCAACGAGGCCAGAGAGCCACTGCGGAACGAGTGAGCGAGGAAGTAAGGAACTTTCATGAGCGAGTCAGTACCTGAAGGTCAGTCTCGGACAAGAGACTCGGTCCAAGGGCAGGGTTCAGGTTGCAAGAGAACTTGTTTGCCGGAGCAACAAAAGGAGAAGGCACAGCTGCCGGAGCTGGCGCAGCGGAGAAAGCCGAGGCTGAAGCATGCGCGGCGGGAAAATTGGGAGCGTGAGCAGGGGTGGCGGGAAAAGCAGGAGCAGGAGCAGGAGCAGGATTCTGACCATCTGGAGAAGCAAGTCAGAACATCTGCGTACAGCCAGAGCAGAAAAACTCACTCATAGCTGAAGCCGCACATCCGAAGAGAAATTCTGACTCCGACTTGGAGAGGAAGTTGGAGAGAGAGTTGGCGAGGGAGCTGTTGAAGGCCGCGCCGAAGGGCTCGGCAGGCGGCATCACTGCACCGAAGTTGTACGGGGCTCGGGCCCCGAGGTCCAACGAGGGCTGAGCGAAGGAGACCTGGTTTGCCTTCATGCTCAACGAGTGCAGGGAGGTAGCCGAGAGCTCCTTGAGAAAATCGCTGGACCCGGACATGCTCACTGAGGAAAAAGGAAGCTTGATGTCGATCTGTCCCAAGGAGATGCTGCTGGGAGTGTGTGCCCCGGATGGGGTAGACGAGCTGCTTCCTTCCTTCGACGCCTTGCTCCTTCGTCTCCTGGGTCCCTTGTGTGCATACGGCCACTTGACGATGCCCAGGCGACGGCAGGCAGCTTTCATGGTAGTCTTGCTGATACCAATCTTGGCCGTTGCTGCATCCAGGCTCTCATGAAAGTGTTTGGACAAGAGCTCGTAAGAGATTATGACTGGGCCATTGCCGCTGCCTCCTCGCATCTTCTTACGAGGGTTGATAGCGATGCATTTCTTCGTCTTGGTCTCATCCCAGCTCTCCTGCATCTCGTCGGCGTTCTCAGTGGAGGCCTCAGCATGATCGCTCTCAGAGTCGGAGCCATCAGAGTCCCGCGCGCTTTGACTCTCACACTGCGAGACAGCCTGGTCCTCCTTCATTTCCTTTGGCTCTTCGAACATGCTTGCCGGTGGAAAGGATCTTTGCGATGGAAGGTTACGGAGGAGGAGGAAGAGAGGAGTATGCAGCGGAAGAGGAAGCTACCAAGTACGCGGAAAGAATGAAGCTAGACACAGCGTGGAAGGGAGAGGATGGGAGGGGATAGGAGATCTGAAGGAGTTTCTTCCGCAAGAAGGCGAAGGAAGTCGGGCACGTATCTAAAGCCCCCCGCTCTTACCTGAGGACGCACGATTCCAGGTTGATTTTTTTCAGGAGGGGTGGTACCTGTTTACAAGCCTACCTGATACCCTAGCCCTATACAATTGGAGGCTTCAATAGAAAATCTCCTTGTTCTGCTATGAAGGTTTTAACGTATATTGCAGAAGAAGTTTTTAGCTATGTGGGTAGGGGTGGCAAGGAAGTCGCGGGTCATGGATACCTCCATGACTACCGGTGTCTGAGAGAGCATGATTATGGGTAGGGTGGTTCACGTGGACTCAAACTGCTATAAATAATTGTTGACGCAGTACACGTTGTCGAGTCATGCAGGCAGAACGTTCTCTACGAGAGTGAACTTTTCAGATTCAGAAGAGGGTCAAACTGGTACAAACCTAGAACTTTTCAAAGGAAAAATTCGAGTTTGGGTGTAAAAGTTCATGTTTTCAGATGGCGCCAACTTACAAGGAAGGCTTCGGGGTCCAAAGGCTCGGATCTTGAGATTCATCGGAGCTCCTTGCCGGGGTCCGGTAGCTCCCTCGTGACCAGTTGCACCTTGTGATCTAGTAAAGACATAGCAATAAAACAGTTTTTGACCCTCCAGATTATAAAGGTCTGGATTTTAGCCAGGCAGACGGAGTGTAGTAAAGATGGAACAATGCGACACCCCCTGGATCTCATGCAATTGACCCTCCTTGTGACCGGGTAACGGATCGAGATCACGTTACCATAAGCAGACCCGTGACTTCAAATATATATTATTTACGGCTTCGAGACCAAGCGTTGCGTTATCGCTCATTTTTGAGAGGCTTCTTGATCCCGTGCTCCTCCGACTGGCGAACGGTCACGAGGGATCAAATTTAAAAAGGTTTTGGAGATCCTGTTTAACTCTTCAAATATCAAGGAGACATTTCAACTTCACATTAAACGAATGATCCGCCCCAAGTGAACGAGTTGGCAGGAGGGGAGAGGAGGAAGGAGCAGGATAGTGTGAGTGAGTAAGAGAGTGAGTGCATGCAGAGAAGAGGAGTGGAGCAGAGACTGGAAAAGGACGGGCAGGAGAGAGGCATGGCAACAGGGAAGTATGCATCGAGCTATGTTGTAATGTCTTGGCCACGGCCCAAAAGTAAAATGGGCAATGAAGAGAGTCTCAGGCATGGTGGAAAGGAATGTTTTGTTTGGGAGGTGGAGAGGAGAAAGAGGCAGATGCTTTCTATGTTGAAAGGTCTTCTCTCACAATCCGAGAAACTTGAATGGCTCAAGATTACCCACCAGCCTCCTCGTTACACCTCCATCTTCCCATCTTCAGCATCGTAGAAACAAGATGAAGAGACTCTGACCGGATGGCGCATCCCCGCCACCTGCACCTCCCATCCTTCGTCCTCAATCTGCTCTCCTGCCTCCACCATTGCCAGCCCGACGGCTCCCCCCAGCGTGTGCCCGTAGCTTGCAGATCGGATAGTTGCGACTGTGGTGCCTTTGTTGATCAAGGGCTCGCCGTGGTAGAGCATGACACTGGGATCGAGGACCAGCACGTGCAGCATCCTCCTCCGTCTCCCTTTCCTCTCCTCCTCCAGCAGCTTCTCCAGCACAGCGTTTCTTCCCAGGAAACCTCCAGGCTTGTCAAGGGCGCACCAGGACAAGAAGCCCGCCTCAAGGACTGAGTCCGTGTTGTCAAGTTCATGCCCGAGGGCTCGCCATCCCTTTTCCATCCTCAGGCTCGTCAGAGCCTTCACTCCAGCATGCGCGACCCCCAGCTGCCGTCCCTCCCGCACGATCGTGTCGTAGACTCTGATCGCCTCCCCGCTGGGAATGAGCAGCTCGTAGCCCAGCTCACCCGTCAGCGACGTCCTGCTGCAGAGCACGCGGACTTGCTCGATCTCGACCTCACGCACGGAGGAGGTCGGAAAGTTTGCAGCTTGAATGCTGGCGGCTCCGACCACGCGCTCCAGCAGCGCTCTTGCACGCGGCCCCTGGATGGCCAGCTGGGCATAGCGATCCGAGACGTCAAGGATGCTCACACGCTCGAGAGGATCCTTCTGCTGGCGCATCCAGCTCTCTGCGTGCCTGTGCAGGCCGTCTGGGACAAGTAAGATGAAGTCATCCGATGCGAGCTTGAGGAGCACGACGATCGCCTCCATCCCCCCCTCCTTGCTCAGCCACAAGGTCGAGATGGCCCTCCCTGCCTCCTCCTCTATCACCCTGGCAGTCGACAGCCTGCTCAGGAAGGAGCCAGCATGCTCCCCTTGGATACGGAACTTTGACGTGTACGAGGTATCCATGATGACGACACGCTCCCTGCAAGCCTTGTGCTCTTCTCGCCATCGCCCGAACCACTCTGAAGACAAATGGCTGTCAAAATGACAACCCTGATACTCTTGCTCGCTCGCTCCCTACATCCTCCCTCCCTTCTTCTATCTCTGCACTCGAGTAGCCACTACTTCCCATTCCTCCTCACCATATCCTCCAGCTGACATACCTGGAAAGCCCCAGGTTGGCTCTCCGGCGACGGGGATTGAGCCAGGCTCACCAAACCAGTCTAGAAGCAGGATAGTGATCAGACTGTGTAGGAGCAGAACAAGAATGGATGCACGAGCACCAACAGAAGTGGGGGCAGGATCAGGAGCAGGAGCAGGAGCAGGAGCAGGAGCAGGAGCAGGAGCAGGAGCAGGAGCAGGAGCAGGAGCAGGAGCAGGGGCAGGGGCAGGGGCAGGGGCAGGAGCAGGAGGAGTGGACTGTCGAGGGGGTGGACGAGGACAGTAAGAAAGATAGGACAGGATAGTGGTCACCTGGGCTCTCAACCCCGCTCATACTGCAGAAGTGAGCTCCCTGCTCCTGCATGCGAGCGTGCAAGGGAGAGTGGAGGAGGTTGCGGGCAGACTTGAACTGCTTGAAAGGGAAGTGGCACGCGTACACCATGCTCAGAGCCTCCTCTGCTCGGCGAGCAAGGAGAGAAGGCTCGCACAGGAGGGGGCTGAACCTGCTCGGACGGATCCCTGTAACATCTTCGTCGGGGCTGCCGCTGACAATCCACTGTGCGAGCAGGCGACCGACACCCCCCCCTGTCAGGATTCCGATCGAGTTCATGCCAGCACCTACCCAGTAGTTGCTTAGCTCCGGGACAGGCCCAACACTGCAAGAGACAGGGATAAGAACATCTTTTTAAAAATCACATGATATTTCACCAAATTGTATCCCTCCCCTCCCCTCCCCTCCCCTCTTCCCTTCCTTTCCCTTCCCTTCCCGCTCACATCTCTCTCCATTTTCCATGCCGCCCTTTCCACCATCGTTTCCCTCCCATCTTCATCTTTCCTGTCCCCCCTCTCCGCATCCTCATTTCACACATGACAAAACTCACATCGGTGACATGTCGGGGGTGAAACTTTCCGGCCCGCAAAAGACTTTCTTGATCCCGACGTCCATGGCCTTGGGCACGCGCTCCATAGCCTTGCTCAGGAACGGAAAGATCCTCTCCTCATCCGCCTCGATCTCGCCAAACGCAAAGTCCTCGGGAATCCCGTGCTCCTTCCAGCTCGCCGCTCGCCCCTCAAACAGCCCGATCATGAGCCCTGCTCCCTCCTTCCGTATGTAGGTGTACGACGCTGGGTCCTCGATCACCGGCCAGCTGCTCTGTACCTCCGGCATGGCGTCTGTGATGACGTAGTAGTGCTCTGCTGCTTGCAGCGGGATGCTCACCTCGCTCGCCGCTCCTACCTGCCGCGACCACATGCCGCAACAGTTCACCACATGCTCGCACCGGATCGTTCCCCGGGACGTGACGACGCCCTTCACTGCTCCCTCCTCCACTATCACCCGCGTCACTGCCGTGTCCTCGAAGATCTGTCCTCCTTGCATCCGCGTCCCCTTGTTCAGTGCCATGGTCACGTCAACCGGGTTCACTCGTCCGTCCCCTGGGACGTAGAAGGCGCCAAGGACGTCGTCGACTCTGCACAGGGGAAACATCTTCTCGACGTCCCTCGCTCCGATCTCCTCCACTTCGACTCCGCACGTTCGATTGAAGTCTGCGATCCTCCTGAACTCTTCCAGGCGATGCCTGTCCGTCGCGAGCTCAATGAAGCCCACGGGGCTGAACCCCGTGCTCTGACCTGTCTCTTCCTCCAGTCGCCTGTACAGCTCTCGGCTGTACAGGCGGAAGGATGTTGAGGTCGAGGACATGGAGCCGAACGTTACCATCAAACCAGCCGCATGCCATGTCGTTCCGGAGGTCATCTTATTCCGCTCCACAACAACCGTGTCCCTCCAGCCCATCTTGGTTAGGTGGTATGCGACTGAGGACCCTATCACTCCTCCTCCGATCACCACGACACGAGCATGAGACGGCAGTTTCTTCAGTGAAGAGGAAGGGTCTTGCGAGCATGCTGTCGTGAAGCTGCGAAGCGCGCGTTGCCGGCACCTCAAACTTATCATCTTTGGTAGATTCAGGTCCACAACTGTATCTGAGCAGCAGGGCAAGAGACGGCAGCTTTGCGTCAACACTCCTCTAAGGATCCAGCAGCAAGACTATCTTCCCGGCAGATCGGCTCCTTCTGCGCATGCGATACCTTCCTCATCGCTCGCTCCGTACCATCCTCCTCGCATACTTGCAGCCATCCTTTCGCGCCACTCGGTCCCCTCATACAGCACTCACTGTGCTCCCGGGCCCGGTCGCCGGAACTTCGGAACTTGAAGCCGCGGCACTGCCGCAGTGCGGCACTGCGGCTCCCGGCCGCCTGGCCGGGCCGCGGGCCCCAGTGACTCAGCACTCCGAGTCCCGGACTCTCCTGACCCAGGACTTTCAGTGAGTGGCTCTCAGTTAAGTAAACTACAAGCTTCGGCAGTGTGGCAGACCCGGCCGGGCCGCTTGCCAATCCGCCGGCCGGGGTGGGCCACCGTACTAGGCTTAGTACGTGACTCTGACAGTGACGCGGCCGCGAGCCTCCAAGTCGGTCACCGGTGGCACCGGAGTGACTGTCGTCGCGGAGCATGGTCCAGTGACCGACACCAGAGAGAGATTTTACTCCACTTGCCAGTGCCCAGCAGGGCTGCCATCGAGTCTGCCAGGCTTCGCTACTAGTCTACCCGGATCGTCAAGTTACTGACAGCAAGTTGCCGGTAGCATCATGCTCAGGGCAGATCACCCAGTACGCGTACGCCGGATATCAGTAGACTGAGCTGTACTACTTCAACGGTACATGATGACGCCAATAGCACTTTGGACATCAGGCTTGACCACGTACTGTCCACATGACCGCCTGCCTGCCTAGCAGCCATGCTGTTGTCTTCCCTCACTCCCTCCCTCTTCCTGACTGAGTTCATCTCAGTTCACTTCTGGAATCCAGCGATGCTCTCTTTGTCGACCAGCCAGGTGGTGTCGACCGCCTGCGATTGAGACTTGAAAGTGAAAAGGAGGACGAAGAGGAAGGGATGCACGACATGAAGGAAGAGAGGGGGGAGGGAGAGGAGGGGGAAGGAGGAGCAGAGGGGGAAGGAGGAGCAGAGGGGGAAGGAGGA